ATAACTTTTTTGCCATTTCCTGGGTATGCATAGACCACCTTAAACTCTTATCTATCCAAACTCCCAGAAATTTTGAATGTTCTGAATATTTAATGGATGTATCATGAAACTTTATTGGAGGGCATTGAAAATGTAGAGTTTGAGGCTGGTGAAAGGATATTGCTATTGTTTTCTCTTTATTAATGATTAATCTATTCCTTTCAAACCATTCAGAAAGTTTATTTACTGTTTCCTCTACTTTACTCCAGACACTGTCTACACTATTTCCTGTTATAAAAATAGTAATGTCATCAGCAAAAAGTGTTGGCTTTCCATGCTCTATGCTAGATTCTAGGTCGTTAATATATATCAAAAATAACATTGGTCCAAGAACAGAACCCTGTGGAACACCATATCTTATTGGTTNCCTCTTGTCCACAGATTTATAAACCCTTTTAAGAAACTCTGCAATTGCAGTATTCGTTGATTTCCCTTTACAGAATGCATGATTTTTTCAATTATTTTTGAGAAAACAGAGATCAGCGAAATTGGTCTATAATTCACAACTTCTGTATCAAGTCCTTTTTTGTACAATGGTTTCACTTTTGCAATTTTTAATTGGTCTGGAAAATATCCAGTTGAGAATGACAAGTTTATTATGTATGTCAAAGCATGTGTTATCTTAGGATAACATTTCTTGATAATATAATCTGAGATTTCATCTACACCGGTTGATTTTTTGTTATTCAGTTTTTTATTATGCCTGCCACTTGTGCTTCTGTAGTTGGATTTAAATACATACTACCACTGTTATATTTTTTTGCATTGGCACTAACTTAAATATTTTTTTGTAGTAGAGTATCTTGTAGAAATATGTTTGGTGAATTCAAGATTTTAACTGTTACCTCATTATATACAATATATATATTTTTTTGAGATGTTATGTTTTATAATAAAAAATAAGATATTGTGACATGTTGAGCTCCGAATGACGCCCCTCCCCCCCCCACCCTCCGCCATCCGTGATGCGCCGAGCGAAGCCGAAGCGAGCCGATGTTAGCCGAGTCCTAGCATCCTGGTCGCTAGGCAACGCAAGTCAATGCGGTGACGTCACCGATGGATATCGCGGTTACTAGGCAGCCGTCAACAACTCCGGACAGCGTGGCTAGCAACAAGGCACCAGGCAACAACTGTCCGATCGAGGCTACATAAGACGCAGCGAAGGCTATTCACAGTCAGTTATAAAGTAACAGTCGCCGAGTTGAAACATAACAGCCGCGTGTGCGATAACCGGTGATAACCAGTCATATCTGGAGTGTGTAAATCGGGGAGACTAGGATAGCTCCCGCATTATTAGTACGTGAAGACTCTCGAAGAGAGTGTTAAGAGATTTTGTTCTAGGGTTTGTAAAGTGTGGAAACCCGTAACATTGTGATAATTGATTGTAGCCGTTACTTGTGGATTGTTCAATAAACCAATTAACGATCTCTACGGCCTATTCAGTAACGTAAACACGTTACAATATATACAACTTAGTATGCTGACATTCACGGCTACAGTACCATACATAAACATAATTTGTATGTCCAATTTTGCAATACTGATCATTGCGCAAAAAAGATGTAATTACTATGGGAACTAAAATATTTAATGGCCTTCCCCTTGAATTGAAAAGCGTTAAAAATGTTAATGCTTTTAAGAAGAACCTAAAAAATTATTTGCTGTGCAGCGCTTAAAGAGTTTTTCAACTAATGTTGGATTGATGACTAGCTTGTTGATTTTCCTTTGGTTTGCAATTTTTAATCTACTGCCATTTTTCTTTTGGTTTTCTGTATTTTATATTGTTATGTTCCTTATAACAGTTGTTATATTATAGTGATAAATCACTGTGTAAATTTTATGTGACTTTGACATGTGATGTATTTGCTATTATTTCTTGACATGTCCAGTTGTATTCACTTCAGTTATGGAAGAAAATAAAGTTGAAGTTGCTAGTTGACCTGTAACACAAAAATGACATGAATGGAATTCCAATTGTAGGAAACTTGAGCGACTTGGAAGAAGTGAGTCCTACACCGGGACGTCCTCCATGTTCCACCTTATTTCAAGAAGCAGCCATCTCAGCAAGAACATATTATAAAAATCAACATGTGTATCCTTACACATACCAAGGTGGTTACTTCTACCGACACAAAATGTACAAAGAAGCATTTGGAAGTTGGGCTAATGCTGCTGATGTTATTAGATTGTAAGTAGAAAAATATGTTTAATCTCTTTCCTGTGTTATAGTTTAATGACTCGGCCTTGCATTATAATGGGAGTTACCTTAGTCTTTTGGAAAGCAGTGTTGTGTGGAGCCTCTCAAGAAGCATGCTCTCTCATTTCAGATGACTGTAATACTAAGGAGTTTGCGTTTTAGTTGTTTAATTTTATTTTAATTGCTTCAGACTTGCCATATGATGTCATCGAAGACACTAACGATAGGAACAAACATTTTAATCATTCCCCTTCTACGAAGTGATGAAGTACAACCTCTTTATTACAACCGTCACAACACAACAAATATCAAGATTGCCTAGTTTTGGCTCTGCTACATGTTTCGGCTATTAATAGCCATCAGCAGACAAATACACAGTTAACATACAGGGTGTCCCAGGAGGAATGGTCAAAACTTTGGGAAGGTGTTCCTTATGTTAAAGTATGCCGATATAACCCAAAACATGTATGTCCAAAGTTGAACGGTTACGGAGATAATGGCCAGAGAAGCGTGAAACTTTGACTGGTGTTACACACTTGTTGATTACAAGATACATATTAAAACTGGCAGGAATATGTGGTTTCTGTAATGTTAATAATGTACGTAACATCAAACTAACTTGTGAGTGACATGAAGCCATAAAATTGAAGTACAAAATACTCGCTCGCCATGTCATAATTGTCCTTAGGGTTTCCAAGCACTATACATGACACATGACTGGCAAGCGCTGACGTAACATGGCTGACTGTGCTATAAGCCGACCACATAACTGTATTAAACGTACATTCACGGAAAATCTCTTTTGGAATTTCGTTTCCATTATCTCACGTTGATTATTATGGGACCATGTATGCACATTTTGTAAATTATTTACACCATCCAGGGTAAAAGACACCTCATCACTGAATAAAATGATGCTTAACAGTTTGGGATGAGCTTTTATCCAGTGGCACAAATCCATACGCTGTGCATGGTCTCCTGGTTCCAGATGTTGTACCCTTTGATCATGGTAAGGATACAACTCTTCATCATGTAAAGCTCGCCACACCTGCATATGTGATACGCCGATGCGAGAGGCCATTCTACGAGTGGACAGACACGGACTTCTCTGAACCATCTCAAGAACGTTCTCTCGTGTGTTTATCATTCGTACATCCTCCCTTTCAGACTGCACAGAAACACTTGGAAGAGAACCAGTATCACGCAATGTCTGGTGAATTCGCGTAAATACACTTTGAGGTGGAATCCTTCTATCAGGAAAACGCCTTTGGTACTCTTCAACAGCAGCACGAGCATTGCCACCGCAAAATCCATACACAAAATGCATATCACAATATTCAACGTGTGAAAACACAAAAGGCATTTCAGCAACTTCGCACAACTACACGTAATTTACCAACCATTCACGACGCTGCCACAACGTACTCTGTAGGCTCTGTAGGTAGCATATGAGCCACGTGAGCTTACGGCTAGTGTGAATCACCGCACTCAAGGACAAACATAGATAAGGCGTCTCAGCTGACAGGTACAGTGCGTGGACCCACCAGAAGACCACACTTTTCTCAGGCCATTATCTCCATAACCGTTCAACTTTGGACATAGGTGTTTTGGGTTATATCGGCATACTTTAACATAAGGAACACCCTCCTGAAGTTTTGACCATTCCTCCTGGTACACCCTGTATATACACCACTGAGCTGCGGTACTACTAAAATTGGATACAATACTATTAATTATGTAAAACACTTGACGTAAAAATACAATAAATCAGATTCTGTTTTATATAATCTGATTTATTGTATTTTTACGTCAAGTGTTTTATATAATTAATAGTATTGTATCCAATTTTACTAGTACTGCAGTTCAGTGGTGTATATATGTTAACTGTGTATTTGCCTGATGATGGCTATTGATAGCTGAAACATGTAGCAGAGCCAAAACTAGGCACTGATTTTGATTTTTGTTGTGTTGTGACTGTTGTAATAAAGAAGTTGTATATTGTAACACAACAAGATGCATGAAATGAAAAAAAAAGTGATGAATTGGTATTGCAAACAGTTTTCCACTCTTCTGATATTTGGCTTGAATTTAGTTTCCTGTTCTAAAGGTATATGTGGTAATAAAAAATGAATGAAAGAAACATTGCTCTACCAGCTGTTATGTCAGTAATATTGATAAGTACAAAGTCATGTTCATTTTCATAAAAAAAGATACAAATATTTATTGATATGTAAACACAGAATGATTCAGGAAGAGTCTATCAAATTTTATGGGTAAGTTAACAAGTGATTTTTAGTTAAAAGTTGTGCGACTCCAGTTCAGAAAGTTTTAGGAAGAGTGGCAGTTTGAAAATGTGGTGAAGGCACACTAGAAGTAGTGGGTTTCAATGGAGAATTTTAGCCATAACTTTGATGTTAAAGTACAGCCATGCTTGCTAAGTATGATTTGTAGACTGGCCATATAGCGTATTGCTGCTTTCACAAGTCTCATTATGAAACTTTCATTTTCCCAGCATAAAGGGGGCCATACACGTATAAGTCTGGCTCGCAAGTCCAACTCGGGAGCTGGGCTCAGATTCGTTTCACCACAAACGCATGAGCTGACTCCCATCTTTGCGACCCACACACGGATGAGTTTGGCTCATTGGATCCCAAGCCAAGTCGGACTCGTGAGCCAGACTCGTATCTGTATGGGCCCCTTTAAGGTAATGTGAGCTTATGATTGAGTTTTGGTTTATCTTCATATGTGCTACAGTTCACAGTTTCAGTTGGCAGAAAGCGGAGAGTTTTATGTATATAAATTTGAAAGTTGTCTGCTCTGTATTATCAACCAGGTATGTGTGATGATACTTGCAGAAAACGAATTTTATGGATGCGAAAGTTGAGTTATATACTATTACACATATTGTGAGGAGTGCACATTTTGGCAGATCAATTTGTAAATTTTCTTTATGTCTCTTTGCAGATATAACTACTCTCGGGATGATGAAGAAATTTACAAAGAATTTTTGGAAATTGCTAATGAATTAATTCCACACATTATGAAAGTTGTTAGCTCGGGGCATAGTGCTCACTCCATCCTTAAGGATCCTGAATGTTTTGCGCATCTTCTTCGCTTCTATGATGGTATATGTCAGTGGGAAGAGGGAAGTTCTACACCAGTGCTGCATATTGGTTGGGCAAAACCTCTCGTTAACACGATTTCAAAGTTCGATGCCGATGTTCGTGCCCAGGTAGTCATAGAATGCCGTGGCAATGAATTTAGTGAGAGATTTGAAGGAGCCATTGCTGAATGTGGAACTCATCAGAAAGATGACATAGAGAAGAAGGAGCTACTTCTTAGCCTACTCAAAGAGGAACTCAGTTCTACAGATGAAGAAGTATTGTGTAATAACAAAAACAGCAGGGATGACGATGCAGCTGCCGACCCAAAGTACCTGAATAACAAGTATCTTAACAACAATAATTATTGCAAAACGAGGGAGGGTAAGTAATAAGTACTTATTTACAGTGAAGTTGAAGACTGAGATTTTGGTGTGCAGATATTGCGAATGAAATATAATTCAACAAAATAATTAGACCCTCAGTTGATCATGCAGTGACATTTTTATTATTTAACTGAAATATTCCAGGTGTTCTAAATGATGTCACTGTTCTTTTAGGTTAAAAAACAAATGTGTTAATTGTATTTTTTAGTTGTGTTTTGCTAATAGTTTAGAGGTTACAAATGGATAACTTAAACCACTTTTAATGAATCAACCACCATACTAATAATCTGCATTGTGGCCTTCTGTGTTGTGACCACAGTTTCATAGGTGATAACCACATACGTTATGATTTTCTACATTGTGACACAATATTAAGCCATCAGAGTGCTTTGCTGTGCTGTTTGTTTAACTTCTTGTGTCACTTTGCGTCATTGTGCCAGTCATATTGTCATTTTTTTTATAGGAGGTGGAAGTGACAGTACACAGGATATTATACGAAGCCTAGAATCAAGAGTTATCGGGGAAGATGCGGGAAAACAGAAGCTACAAGGAGGTGATGAGGCATTGGCCCCTCACCCAAGCATTGCTGCCCTCACAGCTGCGTGTGGTGAGAAGATACTTAACCCAGAGTATCTCCTGCAGGGTGGGGGTGAACCCTTCGTAGGGGCAGGCAGCAGCATTTCAGAATCTACAGTAACAACAACACTAACGTCGAATGGAGCACATGATCCTGGTCCATCAAAACAGAATGCATCCCTTGGCAGTGGAGACAGTAAGATTCAAGACCAGCCTGAGCTGAAATCTCCAGGGAGGCCAAGGCTCACGTTGCGGAGCCAGAAGATGAAGGGTCTCAAAGATCTCTTACTGGCAGAAAAATTGAACACTCATGCCATTTCATTGCAACTCACAGCACAATCCCAGGTGCAGGTTAGTAAGAAGGGTCGAGGAGGTTTAGAACCTGATATAGCAGCTATGGGGATAAGAGCAAAAAGGGCACGAAGGGATTAGAGGAATTGGGTTTTGAGATGGTTCAGTTCATTGTAGCTTATCATGCAGTCCCATCTTAACTAAAAGAGGAAGCAGGAAGGGTTTCTGATCCATACTTGTGTGTTTACCAGTGGTGATTCATTTGGATGGCACTACACGCAGTAATATTCATTCTGTGAAGACTGCAAGAAATTGTTGTCTTCTGGCATGTATAGAGTGTTGCATGTTTAAATGCTGTCATAATCTCTCAACTTGGGAACTGAGTGACACAAGTATCAATATAATGTGCAAGAAATGTACAAACTGAGTTAATTACGATATTTTCCAGAGTATAAGATGCATCCAGCTTTAGGGAAAAGACCTGTTGGGATAATAAGATGAACATCAGTTTTAGGCAGTACTTCCCAGGAAAACATACCTCCTATACTTTAGAATATTATGCTGTACAGTTTGTCACAACCGTAACAATATATCACTAGTTGTAAAAGGTCTCGTACTGTGATTGTACATTTAAGCTAGTCAGCTTAAGGTTGGTTAGTGATCAATTTCATTACCAGCGATTGGTCACCCCCATTTTTCTCCCAGCAAAGTTTATTATTATTATTATTATTATTTCCATGTCACTCAGTACCTAAGATGCTGTCATGAATGTCTTGTCTCATCACTTAACAGTTACTGTATTAATTGCACACTAGATGGACCCCTGTGAACTGTGGGCTTTCTGATGATTGCAGTGAGAAGGGACTTCAAGATATGCCACAACAGAACCATAGTACCACCATGAAATCCAAAGAGTACTATAAAACCTTGCCTAAAATACCAGTACAGTATATCGTACTCTTCCTCAGAAAGTCCTAACACTTTATTTTTATCATAGATACTGTAAAAAGAAATGTTTTTCTAGTAAGGGAATGGCGAGAGAGTACAAATCTGATTTTTAAAAGAGAACTCATCAAAAGTATTTACGTATCTATATTTTATTAACTTTATGATTGTTACGTAAAAGGCTTGACTTCTCTGTAATAAGAGGTGTACATGTAAATTTAACCGGGATGTGTTGGTGGATTGTTGGTTTTGATATGTTAATCTTGTGTCAGTTTTTGTAAAGTTTCGGTGTCTTTGTAGTTTTAAGCATTTTTTTTTTCCTCCTTTGAAGCTTATTTTATGATATTAGATTGGGAACAGTGTGCTTAAGTCCTAAAAGGACTTTACTGTTGTTGGTTCCAGTTAAATTTACATCTAATGTACAGTGTCATCCCAACCAGTATTATATTTTTGGGGAAGAGTTTATGAAGTGTGTTAGGCCATGTTTAAAAACATGTTAATAACTTCACTTGTTGGGCTTGATATTTCAGTCATTGTGTTGTTGGCTATTAGGAAGAGAATTTCCTAAGTCATACGTAGAGATGTGGATTCCTGTATTCAGAAGACCTAAAACACGTGATAAAAACTCTATTCCTAAGAAGGGTAATACATACAGCTCGCTCAGAGTTAAATTACAATAATAATGTTTAGCATTTAGAGCAGTGTGAAGAAAAGTCTTAACATAGTTATATGTTCTCTTTCATGGTTATTATTATGTTTGCTGCTGAACACGTCAGAAGAATTTAGTTCTGCAGGTTCGTATGTTCTGTAGAATGCAAGTCTAGCACGTGTAATTTTTATGCTTTCAGCACACAGTGGAACACTACTAACTTATTAACACCTGTAAATGCTTTACTCTCGAAGATGAGTAAACTCAGACCAGATGTTTTAGGAAAAGAAAATTCTTTTGTTGGTATTGTTATATAATGTAACTGTAAGAAATAAGGCATAAAGTGATGTACTCCATAGGCTGTTTCTATCTTTTCTAACATTCCAGATGTGCAGTTTTTATTATTTCCTCATTCCTATGTATATGAAATAAATTTTATCTGTATTTAATTTCAGTTTATTTTGTAACTAAGTGACTGATATTTGCCATTTTTATTCAGTTTAAATAGTTTTTACAATTCAATTTTGATTAAAAATCATATATAAAAATTAATTTCGTCAACCTTTATTAAGAAGTATGGAGAGGAAATGTGATGACAAATACTCGTAGTGTATGAGGAAATTCCATCTGTGTATGCCACACTTCCAGTATTGTTTGTAAACATAACTTACACATCATCACATTTACCGAGTGTTAATTTTTATACCTTAATTTTAAGGGGGTGGAGATAAGGGGACTTCTTATTGAATGGAGGTCCTTCAGTTTTATTTCTTGGTAATTGATGTTAGAGTTCAGCTTAGTTTCTCGTAATATTTTAACAAAGGATGGTCTCTGTTCACAAAACCATCACATAAATGACTCAAGTCACATGAGCATGATTGATAATTGAGATGAATATTTATAAATATAACGAATACTCCCCTACCAGAAATAATATATATGTAGCCTCAGTAGAGCATGGAATAGGTTGGAAGGAGTTAAGGAATTCTAAACCAGATTTTCCCTGAAAATGAATTTCATGAGTCATTCTTTAGAAAGGAACTAGGGCAGTTCATATTTAATAAGAAATCATTTGCTGGAGTGTATGAAAGGAAACGAGAAAACAGATGTTCATAGAATTAAACAGTACAATAATGTGGAATATGTTTATCTTAAAGATGTGATATCAAGGTGAGTGTTCAAACCTAACATTGATTTCATTGAATTTCTCTTCACTGAGCACCCAGTATTTTAAGTAGTGAGTGTGGAAGGAAAGGTCCATGTTTTCTAGACCTTGGCACTTACAGGGAGTGATGCCTGTACCAGAAATTGAACCCTGGTCATCCAACCTTTAACCCAACATTTGTTACTGTCTATGGTATTATGGCTCATGTCTGTTAGGTCACAATTAAAAATACGTATCATGTGACATTATTTTGGGGGCACACAGTAGCGTAGTTGGTTGAGGCACTATGCTACAAGCCAGGTCATCACAGGTTCAAGTCCTGATAAGGTGGGTTTTTTCCTTCCCCCCCCCCCCATAATTTACCTAATCCTTCCAGTCTACTCAGCCTCTAACAGAAATGAGTACCAGGAAACTTCCTGGAGGCTAAAGGGTGGGCAGCGCATAAGGCTGACAACCTTACTGCCAACTGTGAGCTCATTGTCTCACAACCATATGAGCTTCAAGGGCCTGTTACAGGGATAGCTTCTTTTATGACATTATTTGTTCCCTGACTATTAGAGGGATCTGAGACTATATGAATATTATTCTATGGGGGCTTTGCCATATTTATTCTACTCTTATAACCTGCATTGTGAAATTATGAGAAAAATACCTCATTATTCTCTGTATCCATTTTTATTAAGCATATGTTACAGATGAAAAATGCTTTAAGTATTTCTCTGAGATATAGTCTGTTGTTGTTTTTCATTTTGGAGATGGAAGGTGGTTCGATATTGATGCTATATGTAAGGTGTAACTAGGAGATATATTGATGTCCAAAACAGTAGGAAGCATGAAGTTTGATCTGATTAGCCTAGAGTTTGAACACTGTTGATTGCAATACATGACTGTTGTAATGAATGTTAAGAGAAGTGTGTTGAAAAATCATGATGGATTTTTATTTTTTGAAGTATTAGATTAAGGTGAAAACATGTTGAATTATGTAGGATATGAAAGGGCCATTGAGACTGTGATTTCATGAGTGACTAAAAAAAATATGAAATTGAAATCAGTATTTTTGTAAGAAGAAAAGTCACTGATGAATTAAGTAGCTAGTTAGGATTAATTTGTGTAATGCTTTTTATCTGTGCAGTAAAACTCGTTTAATTTGACCATGTCTAGAAGACATGTTTGTTAAAATACTGTTCGCAAATTATGATACAAAGTGACCAGACTATAAACAAGGAGACACCTATGTATATATTGGCAGGGACTGAAACTGTTTTCTTCAGAGGTTGTTGAAAAGTCCTGTAATGTATATAATGTTACTTTTTTTTTACCAGTACAATGAATACAGAGTGAATCAAACTATGTAAAAAGAGTAAGATTTAAGGTTTTCACGGCGGTGACTATGAAGAAAGCAGTCTTCTGGGATGTGGCACCGTGTAGATGTGGTGTTAACCGAAGTTTCGGAGGAATGTATCGCCTCCATCTTCAGGGTAGAAGGAAAAATAAAATCCACAAGCGAAGAGACCGTGAGAACCGGTACAAGCAGACTGAAGATGGAGGTGATACGTTCCTCTGAAATGTCGGTTAACACCACATCTACACGGTGCCACATCCCAGAAGACTGCTTTGTAACTTTCCACAGACTGCACTTATTTTTATCAGGTTAGAGTAATTTGCTGTACAAATTGGTTTTAGTCTATATATGTAGATTTCCAGCAATAGTGCTGGAAGTATGTGTTCTTTATGTGGGTGAAGGTTTTGAAGACAGAACTTCATACACTATTGGACTGGAAGGGTAAAGATCTGCAGTTCACATTGAGTATCTGAATGTTTATTTAACCCATTAAAAAGTGATTAATAATCACGCTTTCTTTTAGCAGTATTCTGAATTTATACAATTCATGAATCTTCATTTGAAGGTTTTTACCACTCTATGAACTTTGCATATAATACTGTGGGGAAGAACACAGAGTTTCTGGAAAGGAACCTTTTAGGAGCTGAAATACCCAAGGATAACATAAATTAATAGAGCTGCCTCTGTATGCCATGGTTTCTCAAACTGTAGGTTTGGACCTATTTTGTTATGGGTCACAAAGTTGTCGATAATTATTTAAAATATATTTTTATTTGTGGAGTTTTTGAAAAGCATTGAGATTTAAAGTAGATGCTTTTGAAAATGTATCTGGTGAAATGTTTTGTGAATTCTTTTGTTACTATACAGGAACATTTTATAGCTTACTGTAGGTGTAGAGAGGCTGTAAAGCTATTTGGGTTCCTGCTGTCACTGTACAGCCTGATAGGGACCTGCAACAATGTGCAAAACTGAACTTTTCATGACTAAAGAAACTGATGTATCTCAGTATAGGTGTAGAGAGGCTGTAGACCTATATAGGTTCCTCCTGTCACTGCAAAACTTGATAGGGACCTGGAACATTGTGCAGAACTGCACTTTTCTCTTACTGGCCAAGATGGAAGGTTGTATAAATTTATGTATTTTTTGTAGGTGGACATAGTATCACAAAGTTTGAGAACCCCTGGTTTATACCTTGGCACATTGTGATCTTAGTATATATACATCTTCCATCATTACTGTTTAATATGTATACATGTGTTACATCTGATATAACAATAAATTAATTTTGTTATCCAAGGAGAATAGGTTTTAAGAAACTTATATAACCCCAGGATCATTGTTATTGGTATGAGATTGGTAGGTTCAGTTGAAACATTTTTTTGTTGTTCTTTTATGAATACATCATATTTGGCAACCAGTTTTATGAAATTTGCGTGGAGTAATTTTATAATCCCTTCTGTAAAGAACATATTGTGTTTACTCTTTTGGAACTAGTATCTGTGTGTTCTGTGAATTATTTTTCATAATTGTTTAAATGAAAATAATTTTAAAATATATGTGAACAGTACAGTCTTCTGTGTTGTAATGCTGTATAGTTTGGAAAAAGCCAACATTTCAGAGGAGCACATTGCCTTCATCAGGATCACAGAGTAAGTCAAGCAGACAACCAGCAAAAGTATGCCACCCCTTGCTGGTTTGCTATGAATATGGAGACAGTATGTAAGTTAAGGTAAAGTCCCTTGTGCTTAAGTAGTTAAACACTATGCCATGGAGACATGGTGGAGTGGATGTATAGCTCCACCATTCTTGACCTTGGCACTAGATGGAGGTCGGTGGTTCCTCCAAAAATCAGGCTTTCTTCGAATTACACAGTTTTACAACCCAGAAGACCGTCCTGTTCATAGTCATAAATACTGTTTCTACGTATTTATGGAATTTCCAAGTACAAAAATTATATATAGATTATGTGTGTTTTATTGCAATAACTTGTCAAACTGGAATTTTGGAATCGTTTTCCAGCAAATTTTGAATGTATTTATAACTGACATGCCCATGATGGTCTTCAGCATAAATGAATTTTAATTTTATATTTATTTTTACATGTTCAGACCCACTTTCAATTTGTTGCGCTGACCACGTGACACCCTCTGTCCGCTAAAGTTGACACTAACTTCGCCAATAAGCGGCGGTCGCTTGGTTGATGTAGTTTGCTTGTAGGCTAAAGCCACGGAGTATTTTTTTTTTTTTTGTGTAGACCCACATTCTGATTCTTGTCCATTGTTTCCTTATCTCTGTCCGTAACACTGATGTTAGTTATAAAGGGGATGGTAGAAGGAACAGTTTGCACTGAAATGAGTCCATACTTCTGTGTTTGTAGTCACTTTATCACAGGATTCCCTAAATGATGTCAAATGTAAACCACTTTCAGTGACTCATGCTTAAAATATTGCCATGATGTACAAGCAAAGAATGATTGCTGCTTATAAGCTGTTAACTTATTAGATGAAAGAATCAGTTTTACTCTGAACCAGTGGTATAATGAAACACTTGTTTTTAAAACATATTGTGCATGGCTGTTAGAATTTTGATTTAGGTTACTAAAAATAAACTAAGAACTTATGTGATGAGTGATGAGGCAAAGATTGTTTGCTTTATAATGTCACACAGTACACTGTATTTTAATATTAAGTGTGAAATATTTAGTTCTTAGATATTTGGACTGTAAGTGAAATAAATTGAAGTTGACAGTGGAATAGTACAATAAATTGAAGTGACCATAATGTTAAGAGGTCAGATTAATCTAGTTTTACTGCAGTTTGATTTATTTCACAGTTTAGTTGTTTTATAGTCACAGCAAGTGACAATGATAAGATTGTTGCACTTGAATGTAGCAGCCTGGTGTTTGGGGCAATACACAGTGGCTTGTGGTGCACAGTGACCTTATTTGACATCACGTGCTTCATTCAGAAATTAAGTGCCTGCATTAGAAATTCATTTGATTCTGAGGAACCTCTTTGGATGGTGGTATGTCCAATTTTGTGTTGATCTCTTTATAGAACAACCATGATTGTTTCTCTCAGCTGATTTACTGCATGATCTCTACTGATATCTGTTTCCAGGCATTTTGTAGCAGAATAAATTTTGTGCAGAAATTGTAATTTCAACATAATTTCGGAAAGGTAGTTACATCCAATCACACTGGCCGTGTGGTCTAAGGCATGAATTTCTATCTGTGTTTATGTTGTCCTGTGTAGGTAGTGGCCTTGCAGTGGGCTGATCCCCTGTCCAAGGAGTTCTACTGACTGTCATAGTCTTAAGAAACTGAAGTGAAACAAAGTGTTTCACAGATGCCCTATGCTCCAAAGTGGGAGCAACAAGAAAAAGAGAGAAAGTTCCATATGATGTATAAATGAAATGAAAAGGGTGCAGCACTTGCACAATGCATACCTATGTCTTTGTTTCTCACAAACAGCATTATATTGTATTTAAAAAGTTCTGAAACATTTTAATGTATGTTTAAGGACTCATAGATCAATCATATTACATCCCCCCATTCCAAAGTCTTATATTTTGTTCAGATTTTAACAGTTTTATCCAGTGGAATTGCAATTAAAATTTGGAGGCCTGGAGAAAGGTAAAGTGTGAATATACATCATAATTCCATAATTTTTCAAACATAGTTGTTAGGAGTGCTTTTTTAGAATGCCTATTCTGATTGTAGCATTTTGTAATGGGAGAGGTGCTCGTGTGCTCATTGTAATGTGTATTAGTAGGAAGTTCCTGTAACTCTCTTCCGGTATCAGCCATGGATAATGCGCTGCATACATCAGCCATACAATTAGGATTTGCTTAATGAATAGGCACAGTTTTCTGAATGTAGCAGTGTTGATGGTATGAAGGGTGAAATTTACATTTTTATTTTTTTTTAGTTCAGGTAGTGGTACATTATACAGAGTGGTCCAAGAATTGGTATAGGCTTAATCATTTATTTAGTGGCACTACACATGATGTGGAATTATGAGAAAGTTGAGCCCTCAAATTTCCTGATTTCCAGTAATGTTTGAGTACCCAGTTTGTATTGGTAGGTAGGTTACAATCTGTTATATGTTGTAAAGAAGAAATCAGTGATAGAATCAGTATGTGTAGTTGTATACTTACTTTTGGGCCACTTTGTACTATAATAGGTTCTAGTCCCAATACATCACCAACCATATTTTCAGTCCCATAAAATATAGGAAGAAGCTCTTTAGCACTAAACTATAGTAACTGCAACAGTAAAAATAGCTTAAATTTGATGTTAATATTCTCTACCAAACTCTGTAAAATGAACATTAGGTTTCTGGTGACTTGATATTTATGATGAATACATTTTCTGACCTGTGGGTGTTAAGATGCCACTTGTTTAGCTGCTGGGAAGTCATCAGCTGTCTTAAGAGTTCATTATCATGAAATATATTAACAGAACTGGCTCTCTCTAATACTAATATGTAAATCTGTAGGGCCCAAGATAGCAGAAGATTTGTTTTCTTTTTATTGTTGAATGTTCAATGAACAGTTCACATTATACTTAGGTTAAAAAGGAACTTTAAGGAATCACTTTATAGTACGTACCACCTTGTCTTGTACTGATATGTTAAATTTTTCCCCAAATATTGATCCAGTGACTGGATGTAAACATACTGAAACAAATAGTGTCTAAGTTCCATTTTAGTTTTATGAACTTCTGTAAGAAGTAAATGTTTATAACTAATACTCATTTAGTTTTATTTAAGGATCCCTGTTTCCTGCCAGCAGCGTTACATGGTAACAGCACAAATTACACATACACCAGACAATTAGTTTCCTTTCATTCTTCAATCAAAAACATTTGTTTTCATACATTTTTAGGAGGGAGACTCAGGTTTTTCAGAATACCATTCTAATCACAAAACACAAGGGATAAATGGAAGAGCATAGCTCACGAGAACAGACTGTGTCATTACTGCGGTCTCTGTATACAGAAAGACTGCAATAGTGACACATACACAAAATTCGACACATGAAAACTACAATAGCCGCAAGAGTGCAACATCTATTCATGAGACAGAACTAAACATTGACGTGCATGGGAGCACGATGGACAAGTGAACAGTGCAGTGGTCTCCCCAAAAGCAAAAAGGAAAATCACCTGATGCCGGCCCACATGAGGCCGAAACGTGTTGTAAAACTAGGAAAAATACATGTGAAGCTAGAGACATTTTAGAAATTTTTATAACCACTTTTAATATATAAAATATACTTTTATTGTCCTATTGACACTTTAGTGATTTTAACATCATAAAGCATTAAAATACATTTTTAGTGACTGACATATTCTTGGTGTCTTTTATATTGTTGCATTATTGACGTGTACTTTAATAATGATACAAAACTATAATTTTATCTGTGGTTCTGTATGGGTGTGACACTTGGTTTTTAACATTAAGGGAGAAACATAGATTGTGGGTGTTTGAGAACAGGGTGCTAAGAATATATTGACCAAAGATAGATGAAGTGATGGGAGGTTAAAAAGAAAACTGCATAATAAGGAGCTTCATAACTTGTACTCTTCTCCAAGTATAATCAGAACAATCCAGAAGTATGAGATGGGCAGGGCACTGGGGGAGAAGAGGAATGCATATAGGATATCCGTGGGAAAGCCACCACTAGAAAGACCAAGACGTAGGTAGGTGAATAATATAAAAATGGATCTTACTGAGATAGGGTGGGGTGGTGTGGACTGGATTGATCTGGTTCAGGATAGGGACCAGTGGAGGGCTCTTGTGAACACAGTAATGAACCTTAGGTTCCATAAATTTGCTAGGAAGTTCTTGAGTAGCTACACAATTGGCAGCTTCTCAAGAAGGGCTCAGCTCCATGAAGTTAGTTAGTTATATATACAAAAAAAAAAAAATAACAATTTCAATTAAATTTTGACAATTAATGGAGACCATATCCCTAAATAAAACTGCATAGGTGGTCCTCAAAATGTGAGCATTATGGGCCTAAATGCAAAATATCAATTTCCTGTAAACCCCCTTCTTGCTGCTCATTATCTGCACATGCATATCAGTTTCCTTTACCTGTATGTTCAAGGTCTACCTCAGTCACTAAATGAAGAATGCCATCTACTTATTCTCTCATGCAATAAACTTCAGTCTTAATTTTTGTTCAAAGTGATATACTGCTGTCATGGAAAGGTTGGAGCAGAGGTTTGTACAAATTGCAAACTTACACAAATTAAGTAATGTTATATTTAATTTTAACTCATTGCTACTGCAATAAAATCATATTTCACATAATATTCACATTAATACTTTTCAAACAAAAGGAAAATTACTTTATTTGCAGAAGAAACTAACCTAACCATACACAGATTTTAGAACATACCAGCACATGGCACTTAATTTTGTCTAAATCAAACTTACACCAACTGCATGTACTCATGTGAATATAAAGGATTTGTCTGTTAAGTAATGCAATTTGTTTTTTCCTGCCACTCCTCCTGGTCGTAGCACGTTCGGACCTGTTGGGAAAGGGGGGGGGGAGGACTCTTAGCTTCACAACGCTTCCAAGCTCAGTCTGCTCTGAGCTCTGGGAGCATCAGGATCGCTGTTTCCATGAACCTCCTGTTAGGGCCTGTGTCACGACACGCAACAGAGAAAACTATCAAACAACGTTACGCGATCAAGTTCTGTGTTAAACTGAACAAAAGCCTCACTGACACGCACCAAATGATTCAGGAAGCCTGTGGGGACTCTGCTCTCTCATATTCTCAAGTCTCCAGGTGGTTGAAGTTGTTTACAAATGGTGGATGACCACTGCTCTGGACGGCCGTCAACCAGCAGAAGTGACAAAAATGTGTCGTGATTTTTTAAATACCGATCGTCGAATGAGTGTTCGGATGATAGCAGAGACTCTCAGTATTCTGAAAACCACTGTGCATGACATTGTTACCGACAAATTGCACATGCGGAAAGTGTGTGCCAAGTTGGTCCCCAAATTGTTGACTGACAACCATAACAACAACCGAGTGACAATCGCGAGTGATCGCAGACGTCTTTTTTTTCCCAAGGAACAAGACCGCCCTGAAAGGAACCTGTTTTGGAACCACTGAAGTGATTCAAACCGCCGTGACAAAGGCTCTAAACGAGGTCCCCGTTGATGCCTTCCAGGATGCGTATCATGCATGGAAAAGTCGCTGGATGCCCAAGGGGAGTACTTTGAAAAATTGTAAACTTTTGTAACGATATCTTGAATAATTCTTTTTACGAACTTAATTGCATTACTTTCCGGACAAACCTTGTATGTCTCCTTTTTATCACAGGAGAACAATCTTTTACCTCTATACAGAATGAAACAGATGTTGTAGATAATATACCACAGTCATACTGAAACAAGAATAATATCTCACAAATTACCAGATTGTAAAGCTAAATTATTCCTTGTCACTTTATTATGAACTGACATTAGTATTAAAAACAATAATTTCTATATTGCTACATTTCAATTTATAGCTGTTCTTTTTCCTAGTTGCAGGAATAAGGTTTGACCAAGCCCCTTGTTACAACTGCCTCAAATGGGTCTACTGTATCGGATCTGATGACGAATTATGTGTCATTTGACATGTTCTACATCTTTTGGTTTAGCCCAGAGAAAGATCTATGCTATACAAATAAACTCTACTCTATGGGGAAATGATGGAATGATATCTGCCAGGAAAAAACTAAAGAGCTCAGAAAGAACCTGCTCCAGTACTATTTTGTCCATAATACACTCACTCTGACCCCTTGGAACTGAACCCTGGCATCCACAGTGAGAAGCTGATAGCTTGACTATAAGGTACAACACTGCCTCGTATTTCACCAGTTTTCTGTCAATGTCTGTGTTCTATGTGCCAAATTCTGAACTCCTGTCTATATTGGAATTATCTCTTGGCAGGGCTGCCGCTCTTTGCTCATACATCAGTCAGCAAACTTCCTATCTACCTTCCACTCATTAGATTTCATCCATTGTGAGACAATTCAGAGTGATCTATAGCAATAAACTTTATGTTTATTATGTAGTATTACAAAAGATTTTAGGATCGTCATATGACCATGATATATAATTAACAGCAGCTCCTTATTCTATATGTGGATGAAAGACAAGGCCACCATTTTGTCAACAAGATGACAAAGGGATAATCAAATATGGAATAACATAAACCCATGTCATGTGATCATGATGCCACAACATTGAAACATGTGGTCAGTATGTAAAGTGTTGAATGCTGATGTCAATAAAAGCATGTGCACAGGGTTTATATATCTTCTTCTATCCACCTTAGCCCATACTTTTAAATTAAGAATTGTCTTACATGTACACAAATGTAGTATTTTCCCTGTATAATACACATTCATAATTCTTTTTGGTACTGAACCTAAAAGTGCTGAATCTTGGGGCTTCTATGTGAAAAAAATATATAAATATACAAGTAGTATGGAGAGTAGTCCAGCTTTAAGTACAACATGAGCTTGTTCACATATCACTAACAACGATCTGCCTTGAAGTCTACATCTTATACATTTTAATTAAGTGCAAAATGTGCATGGTACTATTAATATGTGTGAACTGAGAGTGTCATTCATTTTTTTTTAAATATTCAGCTCACTAAAATACACCTATCATTATTTGGTAACTTTGTTAGAATCTGTTAGTCTGCCATCCTAGTACATGAATGTTACATATAAATATTCTCAAAAATGTATTATATGATTGGAAATATGATATATATACAAAGAATGTGAAAATTAAATTAATCATGACCATTAACCATCATTTTATAATTATATACAAATCCTATTCTTCCATCTGCATTTCAATATAGCAAAGCATAATCAGCCTACATTCTAAACTACAGCTGTAATTAATACTGTATGATTTTGCTTAATGGCATATAGAAAATATTCCAAGGATATCATTGGTGTTCATTCAATTGACAAGTACATCTTGAAAGGCTACTGAAGTAATTACCTTATTTAAATATTTGTCAGCATTTTACAAGAGGACGGAGATGTAAAATATGTAGATACAGACATCAACCTTAATAGTGTTGACTGAACAAACAACAAAGAAATATACAATTAATGAACTGAAATGATTTCTTTCACAAATACTGGGAATGAATAAAAAATACTTCTCAAATGGTATTGCATGTTTCTGTTTATTTAAATCAAAGCTGTAGAAAACTTAATCTGCAGAAAACATGGCATGTGATATACATTTCATAACAAAACATCTGATTTGTTTGTGAAGCTCTAAACCCCACATCTGCTTTGAGCATTATCATTATTAGGGCATAATCATATAAACATAAATTTTCAAATTTTAAGTTTTTAATTAAACAAAAGTATAATTCCACTACTTATAATAAGAAATCTCTCGCAATATAATTAAAAACTTTCTCTTAATTTGTATTTTCATGTACTTGATTACAACAGGACAAAAAAAATGATCTTAGTTACAACATAAAGCATCCAAAGAATGGAAATTGTGGCAAACTTTACTCTGTTTCAGTAAAACTGATATTACCACCTTGTGATGTATTGCCATACTCATGTTTTCATTTCTTTGTAACACTGGCATATTCTCCATGCTGCATAATTCATGTAGGCCATACTGATTTTTAGGAATTATATTAATCATTTGACCAGGTGTACATTTTAGTCCCTGAGAACACCAATCAATAGAATGCTGAAGGTGAACACTTTTATCATATATTGGTAAACATGGCCAGGCATTTCCATGTACTGCTTTAACACTTAAAAGCGCATATATTACTTACATAACACTAAAAAAACTATAATTTATCCCAGTGTGCTTAATATACTTTGTAGACAAACTGCAGGAAAAATTGATAATTCTCAATGTTAAAGTAGGTGGTACACATATTTGTGCTATACATGATTAAATAGCACAGTCTAAAACCTGCACTGGACATTTTTACTTCAGCTGTTTGTTCAATGATCATTTCATCTAAATTTCACTACAGAGATCATAGAAAATGAGACTTCATACAGAACATAAGCCATACATACCTACAGGGCTGAGCAAATGGTGTGGTGTTTTGGGTGACATTAGGTTTAAATAAAAACCAAACATGAATTATGTTTCATGGTAGCAACAGTGCTTAACACACAAGGCAGGCCCCACTTAAAATAAATCTGTGTGTCAATGAACATGTTAACAGCTCTGATTTAAATATTCTAAAATATGTATTTTAATTAGAAGCACCTATTTTTTTTTTTTTGTGGCTAGTATCTACTGATCCTCAAAAAGACAGCATTCAGAAGTGACAGGTTGTTGCATAGCTGTATATACTTTCAGCATTTAAGGCTTTGCTTCTTCAGCTACTTGATAAATAATTTATTCAATACATCTATACTTCAGTAAGTTCATGACTTTCCTTCTGTAGCTGCTTCATAACAGACAAATAATTTATTCAATACTTCCACATTTAATACATTATAGGCTTTTCCTTTTTAGCTGTCTGATTCCAGAAAAATAATTTACTAAGTACTTCTGTGCTCTGACATGTTCAAAGCTTTTCTTCTTTAGCTGCCTGATGACACATAAATGATTTATTCTATACTTCTGTACTTTATTATGTTAAAGGCTTCCCTTCTGTAGCTGGCTAATAACAGATAAATAGTGTATTCAACACTTCTGTACTTTGATGTGTTCAAGGCTTTCCATCTTTAACTGTGTGATGACAGATAAACAATTTATTCAGTACTTCGATACAAAGTCTTTGCTGAAACCAATAAGTTGCCATAACATGATGATCACTCACAAATGGTTTACAATAAGATGAAGCACAAATACTCAGTATGAATGGTCATCAACATGTGTAACCTTATTTCACAGATACCATTCTTTGATTTCTGTCTAGCTGCATTCTCGTATTACTGGCGATCAATGGTCTGGAAGAACCATTCTGTGAAGCGCCTCAGCTGCTGGGCTGCAGCTTGTGATTCCTCTTGCAGTCGTCGATTTTCATCCCGTAAACGCCGGACCTCCTCTTCTAAAGACTGACGGCGACGAGTTTCTCTAGCAACTCTAGCTTCCAGCTGTGCAAGATGGCTCTGGAGTTCTGTCATTCGTCGTCCTCCAGTAACAAGGCTGTTGTTTTTACTGAAAAATAAATGCTTAATGTGTTAAAATAATTCAAGAACATTAACATGTATGATTAACAAAGGGCACTGCACTAGCAATGCACGGTGGGGGGGTTTCAAACCGAAATCCTCATCAGTATCTTCTCAGGTATGTTTGTCATAGTGGCCACATTTTTATAAAGACATACTTTTTGGTGCTTATGCATATAACATAACAGAAATTATCAAAAGTCTACAATTTTTCTTTTGTAAAAATGGTAATACTTTTAAAACTTACATGTTGGCAACCGTGGCATCGAGTCCAAGACGTTCTGCCACATCATCTACCCAGTGACCTAGGCTTTCCCCATTGCGAGCTGCTTCTGGAACTGGTTCATCATGCGGTACTTGCATCATGGCTCGCGTTGCCGTATCCACTAGACTAGGCCAGTCCATCTCCCGTGCATCTGGGAGGAGCAGGGGTTCTGCCAACTTTGTCACTCGTGGTGATAATCTATGACCAAATATAGTATAAGTTACATTTGAAGCCCTCACAGCATTGACTATGAAGTGTATTTATCTCCTGGAAGGGATGTCATGTAGTGTGGCCCAAGTTAAACACCATTTCAGAGGAAGATATTGCCTACATTCCCACTAACCGAGCAAAGAAACAAGCAAGCAAACAATAAGAAGCAACCCTGTTTGGCTTTTTCTTCAATTCTGAAGATGGAGGCAGTATGTTCCTCCAACACATAGGTAACTTTCTCCCTGATTCCATGGTGTCACATCCCAGAACATACTATCTTCTTGGTGCCTTATTCTCACAATGAAAACACACGTGATGATGATTACCTCTCCTCTTTGGTAAGTTTATTTTCACTAGGTGCTGGGCTTGAAGCTGTGCTTGCATTGGATATGACTGTAGCTGGTCTTGCTAGAGTAAGAATCACTTCACCGGATGAACCATGCTCTGCTGTGACGTTACTACTGCTACTATTTGCATGCTGGTCTCTTGCATGCTGAAGTCTAAAATAAAATAAAAAAGAGCACACACACATGTTGTGTTAAAGTTCAGTCCTTAAAATTAAAGTTTTAAGGGTCTTCTTAACCTTAGAAAATAAATTAACTGAACTCCCACATCTAACAATCCAAACGGTAAAGGGTATAGTGAAAACAACAAACTCTGTGGTTTTAGTCTGCAAGCGAACTATACTGACCGAACAACCACTGCTTGTCGGCAAAGTTAGTGCCAACTTTAGTGGATAGAGGGTGCCGCGTGGTCAGTGCAATGAATCCCCACGGCCAGTAATTTTGGTTTTCTAGACCAGAGCCACTATTTCCCTGAAACAGCTCCTCGATTATCCTCACGAGGCTGAGCGGACCCCATTCCAGACCCACTACTTCTCACAAAATCTGGTAGCACAGGGTATCGAACCTGGACCTCTGGATATGTAGCCAGGAACTCTGACCACTAGACCACAGAGGTTGTCTTAAAGGGTACAGTCACAGTGCTTAATTACCAATCAATATGCCATTAAGATGTATGGGGGAGTGAAGGTATAGCTCCACCATTCTAAATCTCAGCACTAAATGGAGATGACTGGTCAGCTTCATGCCTATACTGCTTTATCCCCCAAGGAAAGAGTACCCAGTACCCAGTGGAGAGAAGGCTGGCTGAGCCACAGACCTGGTGCTGAGACCTGAAAAATCTCTCGCCCTGTTGCAAACCTGATTCCTCTATCGTTCAGCATAAAAAAAGGATAACAAAAGAATGGGCATATGTAACAGAGCAGGTCAAGTTCCGTAGAGGGCCACAGAGCCAAGAAGTGAGTAAATTATGAACATGGAATGAGGTCGAATATTGTCTGGATATTTATCATGCCACCAAGGGATCCCACATCGAAATTCACTGAGAAAGTTATACTTAGAAAAAAACTTGATAATTTCCCTTTTTAATGGTGTAACCCATAAATGTGTATAACAACTGCTTTCTGAGATATAATAATTTATCTCACATAAAGTAAAGTAAAGCTATCCCTGTAACAGGCCATGAAGGCCCATAGGGTTGTGAGACGTTGAGGGTCCCACATTATCTAGACAATCGGCTCAAAGATGGCAGTAAGGTTGTCAGCCTTATGCTCCAGCCATGCTTTACTGCCCAGGAAAATAATTTAATCAATTCCTGGTACTCTTTTCTGTTAGAGGCTGAGTTGACCCCAGGGCCATAGTGCGGCTGGAAGGTTTAGGTCAACAGATAAAAATCCAATGACCTCATTGGGACTTGAACCTGTGACCTTCCAGCTTGTAGGATAGTGCCTTGTATGTATCTCACATACAAACATTAACTTACTGGTCTCTTCCATGCTGCTCCCTAGTGTGTAGGTCAGGGTCTGGAGCAGACTGGCAGGCTGGAAGAACACTGAGTGATGGTCCATTCATGTTAGAGTTACACAAGTTCTCTCGAGAACGAGATCGATTATTAATGGCTGCATCATTTACATTACCACCGTTACTACTACTACCATTACTGCTACTGTGGATTTTTCCAGCAACTGCACCATTTCCTGCAGGTTCCTGAAAAACCATCGCAATCAAACATGTTTACATAATTCTACATAGAACAAAATACTCAGACAAGGTGTACCATACATGTTCCACTAAATACGCCAAGGCTTAAACAGCAGTCCTGTACTAGCACAGAAACTGTATAAGACTAGGGCACTATTCATACATTTATGATTCACCATTTGGTGTGATTGTATTAAACTAGTCAAAAAGTCTGCTGAAATTTAACTTTGAATCACTTCTTTCACATCTACTCCACCCCACCCCCCAATCTTCCATTTCTTTATCCCTTTCCCCTCTTTTTCCTACCTTATTCTATTAAAAAGTGAATTCTGTTGCATATTCACTCTTTAGGAGCCATAGTTTTGAATACAGAAATGATACCTGTGTAAGTAGCGTACATAAAAACTAATAACATAACATGCAAATAAAACATATGCATACTCCAAAAAGTCATCTTTCTCTGTAGTCGCGCTTGATACATGTATGCACAAACATACATCAATATCAGTAACTAACTTCTTCACTATTACAGCACAAAATAGGAATGCAATTACACACAGTGGTACAAATGGCTTACAACAACTGCTGATGAACTGTTGTAGCTAGACACATTTCATTTCTTTACAATGTCTAATGAATACTTTGGCATACAAGTTTTGTCTTGGGGTGAAAATGTGTCCGAATGTCAATATACTGGCCACACAAAGTTATAAAGGATCTTCTGATGTCCCATTTCAAGTACTAAAATCAAGAAACAAGCACTATCTGTTTACAGTTATCATTCATATCAATGACAAAGAGTTCAGTAGACTACAATACAACTTTGTCATGAAAGTAAACACAACAGTTTACCTTTTCATATCATAACAACCCACCTTGCTAATCTTCTCATCTCTCTCAGCCATATAATCTGGATTTATAAGCCTCATGAGATCTTCTTGCAATGTGCTTGCTGTTAAGTTGGCACTATTCCGATTGGATGAATTGCGAGGTGTAACTCCGGGCCGTAATCTTGCTTCACCAGTGTCCCTTGGACGAGGACTTTGGTTTCTGCTACCACTACTAGATGGAGTTAGGGTTCCACCACCAGCACCATTGCTCTGAAAGTGCTTTGTTGAGCGTCGGAGACGAGGTGACACATTACTGCTTCCTGCAGACAGCTCATCTATAGGACACATTTATCAGCACTTTCAGTTGTTTAAAAATATCTAAATTATATTCTGCTATGTTGCATACAGAACATAAGAAATCTGACAATTTTATGATATTCAGATTCAAAGCGCTATTTGTAGAAATACAAAATGTTATAGATACAGTCTCAATTTAAACTGTTCTGGAGGCACATGTATTCACAAAACAGGAGATCTATGCCTGCTGTCACTGTACAGTATCTATTTAAATATATCATACTTTTGAACAATCAAGTCTCCATAATGAATACGGCTATAAACACAAAGTGCACAGTGTCAGTAAAGAAGAGATGTTCTTCTCCATTGCATTTTCGAGCTTTTCTGACGTTTGATGTGGTGTCCTGCAAGTACACTGCCTCCCACACATGAGTGAGCATGTCAGAGTTACAACCATGGCACCACTTGCAACAATCCTTGTTTACAGTGCAGCAAGGGTTTGTGGTAAATGGTAAAGATATCCCCGTGACAGGTCACAGAAGCCCATAAGGTTGTGAGACACTGAGGTTCCCACATTTTCTAGACAGTCAAATCACAGATAGTGGTGAGGTTGTAAGCCTTATCCACTGGCCATCCTTTACCCCCAGGAAGATTCCTGGTACTCATTTCCATTAGAGGCTGAGTCAATCCTGGGACCACAATGGAGCTCGAAGCATTAGGTCAATTGAAAAATCCAATGACCTCATCGGGAATTGAACCCATGACCTTCTGGCTAGGACCACAGTGTCTCAACCAACTACACTACCGTGTGCCCCAAGATTTGCAGCAGGGGGTGTCAATGCACTGATGTAGCCTCACAAAAAAAAAAAGTATGGTGTGGTGAAATCAGGTGACTGACAGGGCCATGCAGTGGGAAATTTGTCATTCTACTTCACCACTCCTGTCAATGCTATATATAGATTGCAAGAGAACCAACCACGCATATGAAAACATTCATTATTTGCCAACATAACCCATTCTGTTTCATGTTTATAGCCCCAGTCTATTCATAGAAATAATTTCTAAGAGTGTAACTTGATCATAAAGGACTCTGTGCATCTGCATAACTATCTCTATGGAAAAAGAGTATTTCTTGTAAACCTGACAGTCAATCAGCTAGTCAAGAAACTACCCACCTTTTATGAACCAGAAGATTCATTTTCATGTTCACAAGAGCCAGACGAATTCTGTTAAGTCCCATTTTTCTAGAATCCATCTCATTGTTAACCTCTCATCTATGCCTAGGTTCCCTTCTAACCAAGACACTGCATTTCTCATCTCCCCCATTCATGCTGCATGCATCACACATCTGCAGTTTATCATCATTTTTAAAAGCAATGTAGTAGCAACATATATAAGTCTTTTCTTTCATGTATCAAGTATGAATGTAGTACAGGGTTCTATGCAGGGCTCAGGGGTATTACCTTCACTGGGTGCCCCAAACAGCCTCTCACTGGCAGAACTGGTGTCTGTTGAGTGACCATCACTAACAGCAAGTCCTCGGAGAGTGGCACAGTCGGGTGGCAAGCTGGATGATTTCGTCACCTCAACAGCTGCATGCTGGTGGCCGGAATAATCAGAAATCTGCAAAATATGATGTAACTTGAACATGGTATAGCTGTTTAAAATTTTATGAGACACCACACAATAGTGAATGTAGTACACAGAATTACTGAAAGATCAGTATTAATCTGGCTGCAATGGAGGATATATTTTGATCAAGTGCGACACACCAGAGATAAAATCTTCTACCTTATAACTGTTACTTAAAAGCTATTTCAAGACTAGAAATGTTTTGGTTAGATCCATAATATGGCAGAGTGTAATGTGATGTGGAAATTGGAGTCTCAGCAACAAAGTTATAATTCATTCATTCATCAGTAATCTGTTAGATGACAGGTCCACAGACTCTTCCAAAACAGCTCCTCCACTTAATGCGATCTAGAGCTTTCTCCTTCAATTAAAATATCCTCTTCTGTCCCCAAGGTCATCCAGCATCTTCTTACGTCTTCTGGGCACTTCTATCCACCCCTCCCATTTGTTTTGTCTCTAGAGGAAACATCTCACATACATGATATCTCTGTTTCTGGAAAGAGACTATCCAGGAAAAGTGATAATGTGGTAATTTTTCCATTTGCTTTCCACATCGCAGTACAACAGCTGTTCAAACCACTCTGGTCACGCCTGTTGCTATACGAACTTGAACCATCTCAAGCATCATTTGCTCTGTGCTTCAAGTTGCTGCTGATGACGCTGCTTCTGGCATCAGTTTTTGGTTTTTGGTGTCTCTCTTCGTCTGATGCCTATCCTTTGATAAAATTCAGAATTTTACATAGCAGTGAAGATCCTTACTGTAGCCTTCCTCAGATATCCATCTGTTATAATCTGGTAGGTGGGTACTACTGTTTAGGAGAAACACACTGCTTCCATCCTCAGGTTCTGTAGATGGCCGTATGTTCCTCCAAACAGATTGGACATAGACAATCAAAAATACCTGGAGTCCTTAACAAGGACTTCAACAGGCAAAAGGATTCCTACAAGAACCCTATGTCAGAAGAGCCGAGAAATTATTGAAACTAAACAGAAACAAGTTGCGATAGGTGACATGACTACTTATAGGACACTATCACCTGAAAGGACACCTCTTCAAAATGGGACTGACAAATAGGCCCACTTGTGAAAGATGCATGGAAAAAGACGGATCGGCCACACATATCCTATGTGATTATGAGGCCATAGCTTTTGTAAAATTTTGTCACCTGGGTCACTATTTTATGGAGCCAGGCAACTATAAAGACATCTCTGTAAATAAGATACTACTAGGATTGCTGAAGGGCTGAAACAGAGGGGGATGTGGTGCAAGGGCTGGTCTATGCCCATCCCCTTATGTATGTATGCATGCATGCATGCATGCATTCATTCATTCATTCATTCATTCATTCATCCATGTTTCTCCATAATGTTGGTACCCACCTAACAAATTACAACACATTGACATAACCAAGAAGATGACAAAATGAACATCTGATCAGACATTTCAATGTACTCGTAGGAGCTTCATGCTGCCTTACCTTTGGTGTTCTAGTTACGAGGTAGTCTAGGGTGGGTCTAGGCACAGGTCTTGCTTCTCCTCCAGAGGATTTGAGGCAGGTCACTTTCTCACCAAGCTTGAAGTCATGGTGTGCTGATGACTCATAGTCACCACCTGGATTGTACCTTGTTGGTGCAGAGGGTGGAAGGGAGTAGTTCCCTAAGGGATTGAGAGGCAAGGAGTGACTTGCCTGCACAGGCAACTTGCCCCCATGCAGTGACTGTTTGGGGGGCACTTGTTGAAAGGCACTGCCCCCACCTGAACCAAGCCTAGCAGGCAGAGGAGGGGGTGGAGATTCACGAACCACAACAGACACGTCAGGCTCTGCTGGTTCCAGAAGCTCGTACCACTGATCATCACTTGAATGACCACTAGATGAACTAGTCATTGTGCCCTGCAGAGAACAAGAGGACATTTGTATCAACTACATTCAGTTTCTAGAACTACGCAATAGTACGCCTAAATAACTGATAAACGTGAAAGATAACCTCAATGGATTTGAGGTTATCCCTGCAGTGACTAAGAACAATGTTCTGGGGTGTAACACTGCACCGTCTGTTAGAAGTCCACCAATGCTTTGGAAGAATGTACGGGCTTCATCTTCGGGGTTTTCTAATTCTTGCTGATTTCTTGCGTGGTTTATTCTGAAGGAGCCAATAGATTCCTCCAAAACATCAGTGGACTTCTGCAGACTACATGGCATTACATCCCTGAAGATACTACTCTGCAAAAGAGAAGAGTTGTAGTATTTCAGATTTTCACAGAAATGATTATGATGAATGCTATCTTCTGGGATATAATGCCACCTGCTGAAGGCCTGGAGATAAGGACCTGGTTCCACCTGAGGACAGAGACATAATCCTGTCTTCAAAACGTTAAATAAAAACAGGATGATCAATAATGTCCAAAGACACAATAATTGTGTTAATATACCGTTGTCACAAACTTCTAAATTGTTAAACAAATCAACCAAGAAGGCTATTTTTTTCATTTGGCCTTCATGCACTAAACAATGGGCTGATATATGGTGAAGTCTAGAAATATTTCCAGCACCCCACATCATTTCTTGGTAGGAACCTCAAAATATAGAAGAAAAACAACACATTAAGCAGAAAGTAGTTAGAAATATTTCCAGCACCCCACATCATTTATTGGTAGGAACCTCAAAATATAGAAGAAAAACAACACATTAAGCAGAAAGTAGTTAATCTCAGAATGGTTATAAATTGTGAAATGGAAGAGGTAGGACAGACAATACTTCAAGAGTATTACTTGAAAAACATTCCATTACAATTCTCTGTAAGAGACCATCTTGAATTGTTTCACCTCTTAATACAAAAGGTTTGTTACTACAATAAATGACATAAATGACAAATAATGACAATACAATGACATAAATATTGTATTTGAAGCCTTAAACAGATGGTTCGAAGCCAATTTACTCTCATTAAATTTTGATAAAACCCATTACATATCATTCACAACTAAAAACAACCACCAAATTGATCTGGACATCAGTTATGCCAACAAATTAATCTGTAAAGTACTTGATACAAAATTCCTTGGAATACATGTAGACAGTACACTGTCTTGGAAAATACATATTGAACAAATTATACCTAAATTAAATGCAGCTTGCTATGCGATGAGATCAATTAAGCCTTTTATGTCACAGGAAACATTGAAGATGGTTTACCATGCCTACTTTCATTCTATTATGAACTATGGATTAATATTTTGGGGGAACTCTTCACATAGTGTAATAATTTTTAAAATACAAAAGAATATAATAAGAATCATTACAGGATGTAGAAGTAGAGATTCATGTAGAGAATTATTTAAGAAATTAAAAATTCTACCGCTTCAATCGCAATACATATTATCGCTTCTCCTATTTGTTGTTTACAACAAAGATAAATTCAAATTAAATTCTGATGTCTATAACATGAATACTAGACAAAAATATAACTTCCACCTACCCTCATCAACTTTATCAGTATATCAAAAAGGAGTCTACTTTACTGGCATAAAAGTGTTCAACAATCTGCCACAAAGTATTAAAAACTTGGGCAATGATACTAAAAAGTTTAAATCAGAGTTAAAGAATTATCTACATGCTCATTCCTTCTACTCTTTAGATGAATACTTCAATGTAAATAGAGAATGATGTAAAATTAAGTTATATTAATTTTTAAGCTAAAATTGCCTGTACTTATGTATGTAACCTTTTGACTTGTTCTGTATCCAAAGGTACTAACCTGCTTAGGATTTATAGAATGTAAATAAATTCAATTCAATTCAATTCAATAACAACCTATGCTCAAACAACACCATGTGTAAAATACTTCCTTTACAGTTCTATGTCTTCTGCTGATGGCCAATAATGGCCGATTTCATGACACACTGGGACAACTACATTCCAATTCTTCCAAGCCCTGCTCTTTCACTTCAGTTATTTCCTAAAAATTATTCTCTTTTCTCAAATTATTTCTGATCTAAAAATGTTAGACTTCTGTGTCCTACTAGTCCATGCTACTAAACAGAAATTTCTAAATTATATTAGAGACACATGAAATTTAAATTCAGTAAAGCAACATTCAAAATAGGTTAGATCTCCATCATAATTTTTAAGACTTAAGGCAAAGCAAGTTAGTCATAGAGAATACTTAGTTTTCTACTTTAGTTTCATATAAACCTCAGAGTTGGCTGGAAAACGTGGATCAGCAAAAGATTTGCTGCTGGATCCTGTCCCATAACCTGAACTACTGGATGACTGGGGAGGAGAGAAACTCCTCTCATACCGACGTCTGTGTTTCCCAGGCACAGCAGCTGCCACATTACGACCCATCTTGTCATCTCCACCTCTGCCAGAAACATTTTCATAATCACCTTCATAGTTATTCAGTGTGTATCGACAGTTTTGTAATGTGCAGCCCCTAAATGGAGAAAAAAATGCATGTCTCATATATAAGGTCCATCTACTTAACAAACCAGGGTACATTATACCTTACATTAAACAGCATTACTATCACACTAGCGTCAGAATATAGCATGGTCATCATATTGGTATACTGACTACAGAAAATGAAAAAATGACAAAGGTGGCACAGACTCTAATGGCATTATGTTCATATCAGGTTTCATGAAAGAAAATTAATAGTTCATATGCTACAAGAGAGGGCTGCACATGAAACATGTATTGACATCATAACTCTATCCTTTAATATATAAAAATGTACATTTTCTGTTCCTTCTGTCTGCTACCAAAGCTCTATCAGAGAACACCTAATAATATTGTCATGATTTACGAGTGTGACCATAGTGGGGTAAGGATTGATACTGGATTTACTAGCCACTTGCATATACCACTTGGAACTACATTGTACAGATCACTGACACACACACACAGACTAGTGTCCTCAGTCTATTACTGGCTATTTTTTGGAAATGGATTTAATGCAGGAACCACAACCGTCTCACTGAACTACACACTCCAAATATCACACATAAAGTCTTCTCTTCTCAGCTGCACTCTTGCAACTGACTCTTTTCTTCACAGCCTCCCGCTCAGAACTGCCTCTCAACTGACAACCGTCAACTAACTGGATGGCCCTAACGATCTCCTTATAACCACTTTGCATGGACTGAATAGGAAACACCATTTCCAACAATATTCTGCTGTTGTAGGCATGTTTACCAATCTGCTACTTAAAAACGGGTTGCATAACCCTGTTTAATTGTTTCATGTGTGTATGTTATGGGTGTTACCTAGCAATGGGTCTATATGCCATAGTATTATGAAATTTACTCCAGTCTTGCTAAAGTGTAGAGTAGCAATGATTATTAAAATGATGTGCAAATAACTGGATTTTTGGATACAATTTAAGTCTTCATTCACAATCTGTCTTTTCATCACATGTATACAACTTCGATTTCTTAACTCCAGCATTATTGCTTCACTGAATACTATATACAAGTTTTGTGACGCAGGCACTGAATACAAATATATTCCATGCAAAGAATGGCCACTTCTGCTTGTTTTTCTTCATGACATAAGAAAGTGGATCAGAAGTCACGAGCAGACAGGAAACTTTGTTTATTTTTATGCTACAGTCAAGTGAAATGTTGCAAGTTCACCCCAAATATTATCATCTCTCTCTGCAATGCTCTTTTATAAACACTTTCAAACCTAAGTTGCATACCCACCTCCTTGGAGAACCATCTGGTAATGGTGGAATTACAGTCACTGTCACCATCATGGATGTTTTTAGCAGATCCACCATTTGGTCATGGGATAATGTTGACACTGCTACTTTGCAAATCTAGAACAACAAAATAGTTGAATTGCAGAGATCTCTATGAAGACTTCTGTAAAGTTGTGTTTGGAGTATAACTTGGAATGAATCAATATGCATCTGATAAGCCTAATGCTTAAGGCACTGATCATAATTCAGACAGGTTAAGAGATGGATCAGCAATGCAAAATACTCGATTCTGAATATTTCCCACCTCCTAATTTGGACTCAACAGACTCCTTATCCAATTTTCTTGACATGGCATTATTTACATACCCAGTCTCGGCAGTACAAGAGACAAACATGATACAAGAGGAGTAATTTGAGGAGGACTCACCTCAACCAGCCTTGCTCCATGACGAAGTCCTGCTTGCCAAGCGAGACCCAGGCTTTCAACCTGTGTCACCACTCCATCTGGCTGAACATGGAATCCCAGCTGTCCCATGGGATTTCTTCTTAAAGAAAGCTCTTGTGCCACACAGCCTCCAGTAACAGCTCGCAGGCGAACCACAATCTCCATCAGCTCATCACGGTCGCCACCTTCACGCATATGAAGGGTTGTGCATTCACCTTGGTGGTGGTACACGCGCAGGCTGAAATAGCAACACAGAATTAGGGGAAAACAAATCATTCCTCCAAACAAATATGGATGAAAGCTTGTTTCTCTTTCTAATTTCTTCTGCAAACCAACTCATTTACCCTCAGTGCATGATTTATTTATTTATTTATTTGTACTTCGCATAACAACACTGTCATTATCTCACACATATACAGTACTGGGACTAACAACTTCACCTTGGAAAACAGCATACACCAGAGATGTAACAATGGTTGACAAGATGTGTAATTTAGGGAAATGACAAAAATGAGTTAAAATGAAAAGATGGAGGAAAAATGGAAATAACAGAGAAGAAAGAACTTGTCATAAAGAATGTCAAGTTTCTGAGAGGGCTGTGGAGCCAATGAGAGAAAGTTAAGTACATTTGCAAGTGCAAGAAGTTCATCAATTGGGATGAAAGAAAACACCTAATAATCTCAATACAGATCACACCATACCTGTTTGTTTGTGTCGACCATCCCAGTATAGCTTTGCATGGCATGACAAAAACAATTTCGCGTGACCGTTCCTCAATAAGAACTAATGTGTCTGTTGAAATACCAAGGTAACAGTCCACTAGGGCTGCCTGACCACTATCATCAAGCACCACTTGCCATGATATAGCACCTCTCTGCAAGGCATCTGGTAGAAACCGAGGTCGAACACGTTCTTTCTTTTTGCTGCTGAAGGACATTATAGCTGCAATAGCCACAAAAGTAACACAAAGTCAGGAAAGTAACAAAATAGCAATTTATATAACAATGGCAACCCCCATACATTTGTATGGAAGCCAAACTTTGACTCGAAAAATAAAAATGCCAGCAAAATTCAAGATGCAGACATGAAATTCTTGAGAAATGTCAAAAGAATGTACCAGATTAGGTAATATTGAAAGTGAGGATAAAAACAAAGAATTAATCTATTCAGTAAATACTACAATAGATTACAATAAAGGAGAGTGACAAACTGGAAAACCTAGCATTTAAATAAAAGACAAAAGACAGGAATAGAAAGACACACTGTATAAAAGATGGCTATGAAGTAAGAACAGATGTGAGCACAAACCATGCAGTGCAGAAAATGAAGAAGAAAAAGGAAGGGAAACAGGAATAGGAGCACAAGATGAAGGCATGTTATTAACTTAATTCCATTCCTTACAGAAGGTAATGTCCAAATTTCTATTTTGACAGCAAATTTCAGTAAGAAACTTCCATACAAAATTACATGAATCTTCAACAAATGTTTCAACAACTGAAAGATGTGGCAGATGGACAAGTGCCTGGGAAGTTTCTTCTTACTGCACATAAAGGTTGCCTAAAAAGCTACTTCATGTAAGAAAACTGCTTCAATGAGCAGCCAGCCACTGTACCAATCAATGACAAGAAATGAGAATCACTGAAATATATGAAGCCTTACAGAATTTCTGTCCTTGATCAACTACTGTGGTAGATGAGTAGTTGTTAGCAAGATCCTTCAGGTACTCCTGCCGTGTACGTGTTGCCATGGTAGCGAACTTCTCTGAACGGTGGGCTGCATTTTCTGCATTGATTACTATGAAATAAGAACATAAACCTATTGACATAAGTCTATAGTAAAACTTTTATGATTAATGAGGACAGCCTTGACAGAAATAAAACAATTTTCTACTTGAATTTTGAAGCAAATGAAGTATATGAGAGACTACAAAACAATACTGAGACAGAATTGTATGACAAATTGCTTGCACCATGCAGGGCTGTGCCATAATGGGCATGTCCTGAAATATTACTGCTTGTCCAGCTGTATTTGCTGTGTAAGTGTCTCATACTTTCTGACTGATTTGAGAAATAAAACTCAATACAAACAATGATTTTCCAATCCCAAACTTGGAGAATTTTCAGATAACTGTTTCTTCTTCATGTTGTAACACCCAAACTACCAAATCCATCAGAATCATAATGGCTTCAATCAGCTTGTCAACAAAATTTCTTCTTCTCTCCCCTTCTTTCAGCTCAGGGTGAAAAAGACATGGTCATAGAATCCATTTTTTAAAATTACACTTATATCAAATTTATTTACCATATTTACTCAACCATACAAGAAATTTCCTACCTTTTATGAAACCTGAATATCCATTCCAATGTTCAAAGTGTTTACAATTACCTCTGTCTTAAGCTCAATGCAACATCCTCTACCCTATTTCATCCACTTTAACATGAAACAAATTTGCTGAAACCACTGATACCATAATATGTAACAGATAAGACAACATAAATAACCCTTGCAACAAACCTTTGGCTAAAAGGAAATCAGAAAAGGCTTTGGACTTTGGAAATGTTGCTCCTTCATGGATTGGTGGACCAAAAACAGGCACTTCCTTCGATCTGCTCACTGCAACACTAGACCCAAAACACCATTACATTTAAAAAAAGTTGGATGTATAAAAATCAAAATATTACATTAGACAGAACACATGTTAAAAAAGACTGTTCTCAGTAAGTGTAGTCAACGAAATGTTACAACTATAGCTTCCTGCATTCTTAACTTTGCCCCTGGAGACAGCTGAGTGGTTAACTTTGTTCTCCTGCTGCTGTACCTACAGGGAAGAGCTTTTAGAGGATGGGCGAGTACCACAGTTGGTCTGGATGATGTACAGAAAGAAAAATCTCTTGCCCCAACAGGGAATTATATCCTGGTTCCTTACCCATCCAGATCATAGCCTAGTCCCTATACTGAGTGAGCTACCCTACCTGATCTATCAATAATTAATCTGCTCTCCTGTAATGGTAAAGAAAACTAAGTCTTACCGATATTGTGTGTTGTCTGAACAAGGGTTAATTGCACGCACTACAATGAAGACATGCTGGAACTGTGAACGAATATTCTTTGGTGTGAATGGCTGAGCACCTGGCTCTTGGAAGACTATGGTCACAATATCATTGCCTATGTGACGTTTACGGAGTAGCTGCTGGCGGTTGTTTGGCGTAAATGGAAGGAGCGTGGAAACGTGGAACATGATCTCACAGTCTTGGTACTGTGAATATACTGAATACAGGCCTGTAGAATCAGCTGGAAAACATGATAAATTAGTCAGTATGATGCACAAATGAAGTATGATTATATGTTTAGATGTTAATCTTCCTGACTTCATTATCCTATCATCTCGTATAATACATTACATATGACAGGAACATCAAACTATAAATATGAAACATCATATGTTAAGAGATTATAAATATGATGATCAACCTGTAAAAGGGGCTAAGATAGCTGTATTGTAAGCTTTTTATACAACATGCAGATGATACAGCTCCCAGAGTGTTCTCTGTTCTCATCATCCTGCCAGTCATAGCAGAATAATGCCAAAGGGGGTTTGTGCCTCCCCCCTCAATTTTTATTATGTACTTTATCTGAATAAAATTCTGTGAGAATACTTCACTGCCTAATTAACAGTTCACTATCATTTTGGAACTGGAGCAACAAAGGAACATCACTGGACCACCCTGTATGTAACTATATAAACACACGGCACCATAACCCACTTCCTGCATCCAATTCAATCAAACCTTCTGAGAATTATATTTGTTCTTATGCAATAGCTAACCATCCACATTTGTTGTATGGAAATCTGATTAAGTAGAAAAAGCTATTTTTAAAGCTCAGTCATAAAAGAAAAAGGTAAAGCAACCCGTCATAGGCTGGGAGGCACATAGGGTTGTGAGATGTTGAGGCCCCCAAATTTTCTAGACAACAGCCTCAATGATGGCGGTGAGGTTGTCAGTCTTAACCATTGGCCGTGATTTACCCCCAGAAAGATTCCTAGTACTCATTTCTGTTAGAGGCTGAGTCGACCCCAGGGGCATAGTGTGCCTGGAAGGATTAGGTGAATTGAAAAATCAAATGACCTCACCGGGAATCGAATGAGCTTATAGCAAAGTGCCTCAACCAACTAAGCTACCTCGTGCCCCACTGAATCAGAAGCTGAGTTAAAATGATAATGAATGCCAAACCAACAAGAAATTTATACTACACACAGAAGTCATATACACTAACACTAACAGTCATGGTTGAGTGGGATGCACTTGTGTTTAATATCTGGGAGATCCATGATTCAAATTTTGTTCCAAAGACTGGCTATCCTGACTGACGTTTTATGTGGATTTCCTCAGTACTCCAGACAAATGCCAGAATCAGGTAATAACTGTTTCCCTCCATGTCCTTATGAATTCATTATTGCCTAAGCATCAGATCATTTGATGCAACGTAATTTGAGCAACTAATGTATCTTTAAATAAACCACAAATGGAATAAATAGAAGTTCATCTTCTTCCATCAATTTTTCCACTTTTATGTAAAAGTAAACTAGTTCATGTTACTTTCTTCAAGATTTATTACATACTCTTGTTGTCAAGGCCAGCTCGGTACTTGTCAAAGCCTTTAAGCCTTACTCGTTGACCAATTGCATCGAGGAACTCATGGAAGGCTGGTCCTGCTTCCTCATTGTTGTACATTTCCTCTTCTGAGGCCTGACCTGCTCTGCAGTACATGATGCCGACCTTGTAGTGGTTTGTCAAACCTTGTTCGTCCAGTTTCAGCAGCTGGTCTTCTGTTTGCTGTGATGCAACACCTAGCCTCAAGCTGAAATCATGTGAGATAAAAAATGAGGTAAAGTAACTCAGAGAATTACAGAGGGGTAAAAAAAATGTACACACCATTTAACAGAAGTTACCTAAGAACATAACCGCTTATTTTAACCAATAAGTAATGTATGGTATGTAGCGTGACACTCCTCCAAAAGATGGTGATAATCACCAGAAACACTTCATCAAATGGTGGGACAGTAAAAGAAAACTGTGGTGGAACTGTGTGTATGCATTTCTCCCCCCCCCCCCCACACACACACACACACATGCGCATATATACATATCACAGAAACAACCTACGTTCATGCACGTCACACAAAATGTGCCTAATTGTAATAGTGCATCAGTTAAACATTGAATCAATTCTCTTCCACTCAAAGAATTACTGCTTTAGAATATTATGCAGACTTTATAGGAACCCCTTTAATATTAAAACCCCTTCTACTTTCTGCTGCCATTATGGCTACAACCATGCTTTAGTCTACTGAAGTATGGTTTAAATACAAATCTATAAAGATTATATGTGACATAGAGAGCGTGGAGATACTCCATGAAATCTTACCATGATAACTGAATTTCTGGTGCAACATACTCCAACACTTCCTTGGTATTCAAAGTTTTGTTGCTGTTTGATGTTTTCAGGTTTGGAATTGCTTCCTCTAACACTGATCCTCGCAATGTAAACAACTATTTAGAAAAGAAAATATTCATGTAATTTTATAAACAATTATTTAGAACAAGTAATTTTAAACATTCCACAGCAATAAAGATAATAATAATTCACACTATGAGTATACTTCTTAGCAACAACATTTAGAATTTAGCTTTTTCATAATTTCCTAACCGTCCACCCAGTTTGACAAATGTAATATGGTGAACCGAATATACATGCTGAGTTGGAGAATTTGTTACTTTCACCAAAACATTCTTGCCATGTGACAGTGAATTAATCTCTGTAAAAGTCTTGAAGTATTCAACCTCCAAAGAACTGAAAATGTAACAGCTGTTGTATGCCAAAAGAAGTAACCAGTTAAGATCAGAAGGGCAGAAAAAATAGGAACAGAGATGTTTTGTTAACACATAAGCATAACCATTTGGCACCCCAAGTGTCCTTCAGAAACACAAGGATACAGAGAATAATAATCTTTCATCCATGTCTAAACAGAAAACTAAACAAGAGACAGTGTCTTCACTGCTACGAATTTTAAGACACAGTTTTCAAAAAACATCCATTCTGTGATACTACAATAACAGGGTAACAACTTAAATAATATTTACAGATTCAGTCCCTAATTCACGGAAAACACACGATTCTTTACAAAGACAAATCAGTTAATGCTGTTCAGACAAATGTTGGTGGTTTATTTGGAGAAATAATTGGAAACCCTTCAGACAAAATGCAAAGTTCTTCAATGTTAAAGCATGTGGTATGTACAGTAACTACAGTGTTTTAAGAGGTTAAGCGTATAAGATGATGTGACTAACCTCACTAGTACGTATTAGCAGCCGATAATGATAAGCATGTGAAGGTGGTGCCGAGGAGGAATTTGCAGAGTTTGGATCATTCTGCCGCTCTATTCGCTCCCGTCGAATGCTGACAGCCACTGGCCCCAGATTCTCGTCCATTCCAAACCAGTTCTGATGATCTGCAACAAAGTCAAAATATGTAAGATTTGAGGTTCTCACAGTGGAGACTATGAAGAAAGCAGTATTCTGGGATGTGGCACTGCTTTCTTCAAAGTCAAAATAGTACAAGTTATATGAGTAAACATCAAGAAGCATATACTTTATTTTATTATTAAAGGCATTTTCTGTGAATACACAGTGATTACAACACCCGCAACCAAACAGGGAACACGCAACACGAGACATGATATGCCCTGAGAATAAGAGGAAGGACTCCCATAGTGGTGAAACTATGAGTGGTGTTAGAATTGGGACAGATAAGATAAATAATCTTAACAAGTTTTTAGTATATACATTTATTATAACTGACGATCATTTTAAAATACTTTTTAAATTTTACAATGACATAATGGCAAGCAATGAAATAGATTGACGTAAATAGAGCACCTGATGATGGCACTGTAGTGCCGAAACATGTTGTGAAGTGGCAGGTGAAATTGAGTGCACTAAAAGACGGTCATTGCTTACATATAATGGATGAAGATCAGTGCAACAGGACGCTAAAATACAACATTACACCCTTGCTGGTTTTGGCAGCCATGTGCCTTGCATTCTCATCACATGATCTTTTAAAATTATTACCATATTGTATGATATCACAGCCCACACCCTCATGTACCTTCAGATCCATTTTAATATCCTCAATCTAGAGGTGCTCTTTCTGTTCCACATTCTCCAACTAAAATTGTATACACACATATTGTTTATCCCACGCATACTATGTGCCCTGTTTATTCATCTTCACTGAACTGATCATGCTAATAATATTTGTTGAAGATTACAAATTATGCATTTTTCTCCAGCCTTGTGTTATTCCTACTTCCTCCCTCACAGGTATAAATATTCTGCTCATCACCCTGGTTTCAAATGCCTTTAATCTGTAAGAGTACCCCATTTTATGAACAAGATAGACTAGAAATTTAAATATGATTTATCTACTAACAAGGGTGAGCTGGGATAGCTCAGTCAGTATTGCTATCAACTAGGGACAGACGGCCAGGGTTTGATTCCCCGCAAGGGCAAGAGATTTGTCCCTACTCCAGTGCCCAGACCAGCACTGGGACACACCCACGCTCCTATCCAATGTGTACTGGGAGTAGAGCAGCCGGGGCATGAAGCTGACTACTCTCCTCCATCTATGTAGGATTTGAGGTTCTTGTAGCGGTTATGAAGAGTACTATCTTTTGGGATAAAACGCCGCTTGTCCGTTGAAATACAACCGACGTTTCGGAGGAACATATCGTCTCCACCTTCAGGAGCGAAGACTAAGCCGAGCGAGATAACAACATGAAAGCAGGTGGCAAGTAGCTCTGCTTTCGACCTTCCTTCACGTTGATGTCTCACTCGGCTTAGTTTTCGACCGTGAAGATTTAGGCGATGTTCTTCAGAAACGTCGGTTCACTTTCAACGAACTACGCGGCGTTATAGCCCGGAAGACAGTACTCTTCACCTACGCTCCCTGCTTAATCAATTAAGCACAGAAACAACTTTACCTTTTATCTACTAATGTCTTTCGATGTTGCCATTAGTGATGAAAGTGTTAGGAATGGATTAAGTAGCACATGTTAAACATTTAATTTTTTAGAACAACACAAAGGACCAAACAAGAACAGGAACTGAACAACACAAAGGACCAAACAAGAACAGGAACTGGATCCATGGAAGAAGGGGTTAGCGGATCAGCTAACTTAACTGTACATTGCGACCGATGGCTAGACAGGCTACAGTAGTTACTAATGTCTAGCTAACAGTGCCACTGGAGATGATAACGACACGTTACGGTATTTGAAACGAGGGCTTTGGCTTCGGTTTGAAACAGACGCACTACAAGGAAAATAATATATACACTCACTAAAATGACACGTAAAAATGGAACAAGCTAATTCATTCGTAACATGTTGGGAAATGAAGCGTTGGTCCCCATTTGCTTGGCTCTAAAACCATAATGTCTGAGGAAAAAGTGTACTGAGCATAACACGTGTTTCATTTTTCTCTACAACTTCTATTGGAAACATTTCTCACTCCTATACATATTACGCGTGATTCATGATCAAAATTTGGGCAGGAATGATGGTAGCTCTTCGTGTAAAGCTTTCGTTATTATTGTTCAATTTTAACCAAAACTTGGATGTCAATAAACTATGAGAGAACTCTCAATCCACCAGCGATTCCGGAGCTGTTACATGGGGATAGGAAGGCTAACTTAACAGGCGCATTTTTTCAACGTTTCGTTGTAAGACGCAACAAAAAAATTATTTTTTTTACGGTAATGGTAAGCCTATGGTAGGATGTAATTTCCTGTTCTGGCAACGCGAGGGCGAATGTGTGAGAATACGGAGCTTTTCATTATAGCACCCCAACGGGTTCACACTGTTTCATTAGTCAATTGTCTGGTAAGCAACGGCGCCAAGCCAACCCTTACGTCTGCCCCTCAAACAAACAGTGTGTGACGTTGACCTATGATGAGTGTCATAGTGACAAGATATAGGCTACTTCGTGTTAATCTGAGTTCGAAACTTGGCACTCAAATCCATCTATCTACCTATCTATGGTTCCACGGCCCTTTGTTGGGCCTTGGCCACTTTTTCAGTTTCATAATCCTTTACACAGTCGGTAGGACTCCTTTGACGGGGGATCAGCCCGTCGCATGACGAAACTTGTCCCTACCGGAGGCACACAAATCCAATCCACACACCTTATTTCTTAAACATCCGACTTAACCCACACCCCCATCAACGTCTAGGTCACCCGCGTGGTCTCTTTCTTTCAGATTTTCCGATAGGTTTCTGCATCAAGGAAGATGATACACATTACTGGATTCTGAAACTTCTGGAATTAAACGGCATTGCTCCCTCACAACGCAATATGGCAGCATTAATTTCTTAAAAAGGTAAAGTTGTTCCTGTGCTTAACTAATGAAGCACTGCGCCACGAAGGCGTACGGGGGAGTGGATGTATAGATCCACGTCTTCTTGACCTCGGCACTAATTGGAGGTGAGTGGTCAGCTTTACGCCCGGGGAAAGAGCGCCCGGTACCCATTGGATAGGAGGTTGTGTGGGCCCCAGGGCTGCTCTGGATGACGTGGAGAAGAGAAAATTCTTGATCCTGCCGGGACTCGAACTCCGGCCCCTCGGTCGTCCAACCCGTAGCCAGTCGCTATACCGACTGCGATATCCGGGCTCTTCTTAAATTTCACAGAAGTCTTCTGCCGGTTTAAACGAATCGTGCAGGAGCCGGGGTAGCTTAGGTTAACGAAGGGCAGAGGAATGCTGGTTCGATTCCCGATAGAGGCAAGTGATTTGTCTCTCATCCACAGCATCGTGACCGGCTAGGAAGCCAATGGGTAACGGGGGGGGGTCTTTCTCCAGGGTAAAACGGCCAGGACGTTAGCCACTCACCTCCATCCACTCCTGCGGTTAAAGAATGTCGGAGCTACATACCACTTCCCTCATACTTCCTCACGTCGTAGCGCTTAATTAATTAAGCACGGCGACAACTTTACCTTTCCGACGAATTGTCGTAATGAAATTGGGGGAGTGGCGACTTCCCTTCCTGTTGCTACCGAGAGACCAACAAGGCACGACACACCCATGTACCTTTCTAATTCAGCCTTCGTCAATGCCAATAACACTCGTATGTGTGTGTGTGTGTCTATTTTTGTACCCTTCGCAGATAACTGAATGACGTGCTGAACAAGGAAAGCGTAGGCAAGGCGCAGCTGACGCATACCCGAAAGAAAACGATGGATTTCCGTATTCTTTTCCAGCCGTGAATATAAATCAATAATCGTTATTTTCCTCTAACCCTTTAACATTCATCTAACTAAACTAAACCAATCTAATGTCATCGAACAGTCATTCTTGGGCAGCTCAGTTGTCCAGCTAGTCACGAAATTCTCAGAATTTTGTGGAATCCGAAGATTCAATACCGTCCTCACATGACCCCACCACCTTTTCTTACCGTTAGCCAGATGAATCCAATCCACATTGTCATATTATAGCTCCTTACGAACCATTTCAATATCATCCTTCCAGATACAGACTAGGTCTCACGATGGGTTGCCTGAGAAAAATTTTATTATCTTCCTAATCTGGTATGCATGCTATATGCCCTGTCCATTACACCTTCCTTGATTTGATAGACCTATGATATATGGCGAAGAGAACACTTTATGCAGGTACTCATCATGTGATTTCCCCCGTCTTCTGATGCTTTCTGGAGCCGGCACATCGCAGTCAGTATGGCGACTGGTTACGGGCTGGATCCCGAAGAGTCGGTGTTCTAGCACCAGTAAGGTCAAGAATTTTTCCTTCGCCTCAGCGTCCAGACAGGTTCTGGGGCCCACACAGCCTATCCAATGGGTACCGGGGTCTCTTTCCCCGGGGACAAATCGGCTTCTAATGCAATAGAATTACCAGTTCAATTCATTTAAATTAAAAAAAAACAAAAAACAACAACAACAACAACAGGACTCGAGGACCTCAACAGTGCTGAAATGGTAACTACAGGTAAGCTTTTGTGATCACGGTAATGAAACTTCACATTTCGTAACTAATTAACTAAACTAACTTCATGGAGCTGACCCCTTCTTGGGAAACCAACGGTGCAGCTACTTAAGAATTTCCCAACATTTTATGGAAAGCTAAGTTTCATTACCGTGTTCACAACAGCCCTCTATTGGTCCATATCCTGAGCCAGATCGATCCTGTCCATACCACCTCATCCTATTTAAGACCCATTTTAATACTGTCCACCCATCTACATCTTGGTTTTCGTAGTGGTGTCTTCCCTTCTGACTTCTCCACCAATATCCTATATCCTTCTTCTCCCCATTCGTGCTGCATGCCCTACCCAGCTCATCCTCCTTCGTAAACTGCAGAAAATATTTTGACCGAAAAAATAATTACCAACTGCTAGAGAAAAAGGTGTACATTGCTCTTAGAATACGCAGTTAAACAC